TGATCCAGCAATCTAACTTCTGACTACACACCCAAGAGAACTGAAAGCAGAAACTCAGATATTTGCACACCCATGTTCATAGCAGCTTTGTTCACAGTAGCCAGAAGGCGGAAGCAGCTCAGGGATTTATCAATGGGTGAATGGATGGATAAACAGAATACGATGTGTCCACACAAGAGAATATGATTTGCCCTCAAAAAGGAAGGAAATTCAGACACAGGTTACACCATAGTTGAACCTTGAAGATACTATGCTAAGAGCAATAAGCCAGTTATAAAAAGAAAAATACTGTATGATTCCATTTATATGAGAGCCTGAGAGTGTTGAATTCATAGGAATGGGAAGTAAAACGATGGTGTTAGGATTAGGGAAGGGAGAATGGGGAGTTAGTGTTTAACAGGTGCGGAGTTTGTGTTTGGGATGATGAAAAATTTCTGGAGACGGATGATAGGGTTGGTTGTATAATAATCTGAATATACTTAATGCTATTGAAGTGTACACTTAAAATGATTAAAATGATAATTTTTATGGTATGTATATTTTACTGCAATTAAAAAAAGAAAACTCACAAGGGCGGAAATTTAGATTTTTCCCTTAAATATCCTCTTCTATTTGTGAACACAAAGTATTTTTCTCACATGATGTTATTCTGCTAGGTGGTCATGAGATGCTCTTCTGCAAGACCAGCAGGTAGAAGAAGCCAGCCTGAAGAAATAAATAGAAACTTTCTGAGGGCAGAACCAGGACGTCTTAAGCTAGATTAGAAATCTACTAGTTCTACCTGCTAATTCTGTAGAGGTGGAAGGTGAGAGTTCACGTAGCCTGAGTGAGGCCACACGGGGGGGAAGTCAGGCTTTGATGGCTCATGATACTTAAACTTCGACTTGCCTGCCTAGACTCATCCTCTACAATACACTTAAGAAACAGAATGAGCAGGATGGGGCTAGACACATCCTCTACAACACACTTAAGAAATGGAGTGAGCAGGCCGGGGGCAGTGGCTCACACCTGTAATCCCAACACTTTGGGAGGCTGAGGTGGGCAGATGGTTTGAGCCCAGGAATTGAAGACCAGCTGGGCAATATAGTGAGATCCCATCTCTACAAAAAAAAAGAAAAAGAAAAGAAAAAGAAGAAAAAAATAGCCAGGCATAGTGGTGCACAACTCTAGTCCCAGCTACCTAGGAGGCTGAGGTGACAGGATTGCTTGAGCCCAGGAGTTCAAGGGTATGGTAAGCTGTGATCGCACTGCTGTACTCAAGCCTGGGCAACAGAGCAAGACCCTGTCTCAAAAAGACAATGGAGAGAGCAAAGTGGACAGAACAGTATGTGCACGTGTGCACTTAACCAAAGGTAACAGCATGGGAATCATTTATGCGTGTGATTCCAGTACAATACAATGATTTAAACCATTTTAGTTTGCCAGAAGATTCCAGAACCAAATGCTTACCTCTCCCCACCATTGCTGCACATTGACCTTTTTTACCCTATGTGTGCACAAGAAATGGGCCTATTTTCCAGATCCTATTAAAACAAATTCCTACCGAACAGGGGGAAAAAAGATTCAACAGAAACAAAACTCATTCAATGTTTCATGCATCAAATATTTATTGTGTCTGTTATATGCCAGGGACTGGGACTATGTTAGCCCAGAGACTATAGCTGAGAACAAGCCAAGCATAGTTCCTGCCTTCATGAAGTGCTGTCCTCAGTCAAGTACGTAGAATGTCACACTAAGGGAAGGCTGAAGAGCTTGGGGAACATTTGGGATTACAGGAAATCAAAGCCTGGTGTTGTAAAGGTTAAAATGAGGAAAGTTTGGAGAGCTTAGGCGGCAATTAGGGTGGTTCACTCAGAGAAGGAGAACCCGTGGGAGATAGGAGATAGGTAGGTGGGGTAGGGGGGTAGGTGGGTAGGTGGGTGGGTGGGTGGGTGAATGGATAGAGAAAGGGAGAGACAAAGAAGTTTCAATAGAACTGTGACAGGGATTGGCCTTATGCGGTCATTGTGAGGCTGTTATCTTTACGTCTGAGGCTGTAGTCTAATGTCCATGGGGCAGGGAGTCGGGGAAGGAAAGATGGCTGCAGACTGGGGAGATGTAGAACATGCTGGAACCCATAGCACAAACTGGAGCCTACAAGGAGGGACTAACGTCCACGTCCACCTTACTGCCCCTGTCCTTGATGTGGGTGTCAGGCATGAGCCAGCGTTCTTTGTCATGGACCAAAACGCACACACCTGGCCCCAGAGTTGGAGATGCTGAAGGAGGCCCCCGGGAGGGTGGAGTGGCAGGCCCAGACCAGGCCTCATGCCGGGAGGGTGGAGTGGCAGGCCCAGACCAGGCCTCATGCCCGGGAGGGTGGAGTGGCAGGCCCAGACCAGGCCTCATGCCCAGGAGGAGAGCCCGTGGCGGTGAGACCGCCTGTGGCAGCCCCGGGAATGGCTGCTGCTCTGTCTCCGCTGCCTCCCTTTTGCAAAACTCTCTTCAGTGCTGACCGTGACTGGAAACGTGGAGGGAAGGGAATTCTGGAAAATGCGGTTCTGCCTTGCCACGCTGACACGTTGTAAAGTCACCACAGATGGCAAACTAGCCTGGACTTGGAGTTGGGGCAGGTCTCCAAAGAGAAGGTGACGTCTAAGCCAAGGCCCGAAGGAGATCAGGAGGCAGCTGGATGGAGGAAAGGGAGGGATTCCCCAGAGTGCTGGAATCCCATTAAAAGAAACGTTGTCTGGAAAAATCTTGTGCTTTAAGAAGGAAATGGAATTTTAAAAGGGAAAAATGTGTCCCCAAAGAATAAACTTGTACAAAAACAAAAACATAACACTTTTATTTAGCATCTAAGTGAATCGAAATCAATAAACTGAGAAGCCACTTTCCAAACTCACTTGATGTGTCACACCTTCCTCATCCTTCCCTCCCTTCCACCTTTCTTTCTTTTCTTTTTTTTTTTTTTGAGACAGGGATCTTGCTACATTGCCCAGGCTGGCCTCGAATTCCTAGGCTCAAGCAAACCTTCTTCCTCAGCCTCTCGAGTAGCTGGGACTACAGGTCCCACCACGCCTGGCCCTTTCATCTTTCTTACTTCCCTGCCATCCCCTTCCAACCCCTGCCCAATCCTCATTCTCCTCTGCCCACCAACCTCCTTCCCCTCATTCCTCATTTCCCCCCTTGTTCCAGCCAAGGAAATTGCTGGGTGAGGTTCAGATCACACAGATATCTTAGCTTTTGTTTTTAGATGTTGCCCAGGAGTAAAATCAGTCATGCCATATAAATATCACAGCTTGGGGTTGCAGGTTAGTACTCACATCGTCTTGGTATGGGTTGCCAAAATGCCAGTGGTGTAAGAGCCTCTGAATCCTCTCTATGCCTGTACAGTCAGAGCCAGCTCTCCCTCTGCACGCCTCAACAAAGAGCAGGGAAATAAATACCACGTTTGCAATAAATACCTGGGTCAGAGTTTGACTCAACAACCAAATACATGTCCTCCAAATTCAGTTTAGTCCATTTCCTGAGTGAAACCAAATATGCTGCAAGAAAGGCAGGCTTCCTGTCTTCCCTAGCCCTTTTCAAAAATGATTATTCTTAGGAAAACCACCCTAGAGGGCTGCCTCTGGCCTGAGGCTGGAACAACCTGGGCACGACAGGGACGGGGAAGGGAGGGAGGAAGGGAGGAACCCACTGCTGAAGGAGGAGACAGATGGTCCCAAACCAAAATGCAGCATCCAGATTCCAGAGCTTTCGTCCCCACCCTGAGGGGGCAAATCCTTGCTTCCCCACTTAGCCAGGTGTCCCCAAGACAAAGCTCAAATTCTGTGATCCACTGGAAGGACTCCTGGAACTCAGAAGAGCCACTGTGCTCGTGGTTATGGTTTGTTGCAGTGAAAGGATAGACTGTTGTCAAAGGAAAAGGATGCACAGGCCAGAGCCCAGAGAGTGGCGGGGGTGAGCTTCCTGTTCCTACTCTCTGCGGAGTCACGCAGACGGTGCTCAATTCCCCAGGAACCTTGTGGACAAGATGTACAAAGTATCGCCAACCAGGGAAGCTCCCATAAGCCTCTGTGTCCAGGGATTTTGCTGGGGTTAGGCTTTCAGGCATGAGTGCCTCGTTACTGACTTCAGCTATTTGAATTTCAGCCTCTCCAGAGGCGGAACAGTGTGGCCCAAGGTCCCACCATAGATAACACTGTTAGGCTAGACTAGGTAGCGTGGCCCAAGGTCTGAGATTAGCAAAGACACTCCTATCAGGCAGAATATTCCAAGGGCTTGGAGGTTATCTCCCAGGAACCAAGCAAAGGCCAGACCTTTCTCTTAGACGTTCAGGGTTTGAATGACCCAGGCCTGCAGAGTCAACTCTACTGCCTGTCCACACTTGTCTGTTTCTGTTCCTCACTTCTCCAGTGAGCGTGGAGTTCCACGGTCTCAGGTGGGTGACGCTAGGTAAGAGGTTTCCTGCGACTAACTAGCTGTGTGCCCTCTGGTGAAGATCTATGAGTTCTCATCGCTTGGGTCTCCTCATTGGCAGGTGATAGTCATCACACCCACTCTGAATTTCCTGACAGGCATTAGGAGAATTGAAGACACCGTGGGTAATGACGGAGCCTCGTGTACTGCTCACAGGTGCGGAAGCCAAACAGTCACTTTAGGGAGTTCTGGTTGTTTTTTCGGTTTGGTTTGGTTTTTAAGAGATGAGGTCTCACTCTGTGGCCCAGGCTGGCATGCAGTGGCACAGTCATAGCTCATGGCAACCTGGAACTTCTAGGTTCAAGCAATCCTCCCACCTCAGCGTCCTGAGTAGCTGGGACTACAGACGCATGCCACCACACTTGGCTAATTTTATTTATTTATTTTTGTAGAGACAGGGGCCTTGCTATGTTGCCCAGGCTGGTCTCGAACTCCTGGCCTCAAGAGATCCTACCCCAGCTTTCCGAGTGGATTTTGTTTTTTAATGGCTATTTCCTTTTCCCCCTAACATTTACAAAATGCTTACATATGCCAGGCACTGTGTTTAGTGCTTACGTGGATTCTCTCATTTAATCCTCAGGCAATTCTCTAAGGAAAGTACTGTCATGTCACCCCCGTCTGAGAGGACTGAGGCTCAGTGAGGTCCCATGAGGTCACAGAGACAGCTTTTAAACTGTGTCAAGATAGCCAGAGCTGGAACAGCAGAGCTACGCTGATTGCTTGCTGGACATGGAAGAGCAGCTTCTCTCACGCAAAGGTGTTTTCAGCAGGTTTCCCTTGGTTAAAGGAGAAAGGCTGGATGCAGGATAAAAAGAAAAACACTTTCCTCCATGAAGGTGGGTTCTCAAGGGTGTGTTTGACTGAGGAGACAACTGTAAAGTCTCTTGGAAATTGGTCCTTGCTCTGATTTTTGCCGCGAAAGTACTGTTGTCAAACAGATTCAAATGGGTTTCACAATTAATGTGAAGAGGCTCCGGTTACGCCGCAAACGAGTGTGACTGCCCCTCAGGATTAAGGATGTTTTTCTGTGGCTGAACTGAGGCATCTGTCCCCAGGGCTGGAGGCTGGGTATGGCCACAGCTGACCTCCTTCTCTCCATGGTAAGTGTCTCCCACCTGCCCCTCACGGCCGAACAACTCGTCAGGGGCTCAGGGAATGTGGACTGGCCTTAGAATGAGAACGTGCATTTTGCTAGTTCTCAACATCGTTGTCTTCAAGGAAAACCTCATTTGTGTGTGTGTGTGTATGTGTGATTTTTTATTAATTTTTAAATTTTTGTGGGTACATAGTAGGTGTGTATATTTACGGGTTACCTGAAATGTTTTGGTACAGGCGTGCGAGGTGAAATAAGCACATCATGGAGAATTGGGTATCCATCCACTCAAGGATTTATCCTTTGAGTTACAAATAATCCAATTATACTATTTAAGTTATTTTAAAATGTACAATTAAGTAATTATTGACTATAGTCACCCAATTTTTGCTATCAAATAGTAGGTCTTATTCTTTCTATTTTTTTGTACCCATTAACCATCACCACTTCCCCTCCACAACCTCCCCCACCTACCCTTCCCAGCCTCTGGTAACCATCCTTCTACTCTCTATCTCCGTGAGTTCAATTGTTTTGATTTTTAGATCCCACAAATAAGTGAGAACATGTGATGTTTGTCTTTCTGTGCCTGGCTTATTTCACTTAACGTAAAGACCTCCAGTTCCATCTGCGTCGTTGCAAATGACAGGATCTCATTCTTTTTTATGGCTGAATAGTACTCCATTATGTTTATGTACCACATTTTATTTATCCATTCATCTGTTGATGGACACTTAGGTTGCTTCCAAATCTTGGCTATTGTAAACAGTACTGTAACAAACATAGGAGTGCCAATACCTCTTTGATACACTGATTTCCTTTCTTTTAGGAATACACCCAGCAGTGGGATTGCTGGATCATATAGCAGCTCTATTTTTAGTTTTTTGAGGAACCTCCAAACTGTTCTCCACAGTAGCTGTACTAATTTACATTCCCACCTTTTTCTCCACATTCTGAAGAGCATTTGTTATCTATCTTTTGGATATAAGCCATTTTAACTGAGATGAGAAGATACGGAGTTTTGATTTGCATTTCTCTGATGATCACTGATGTTAAGCACCTTTTCGTATGCCTGTTTCAAATGTCATTTGTGTGTCTTCTTTTGCAAAATGTCTATTCAAATCTTTTGCCCGTTTTTGATTGGATTATTAGACATTTTCCTAGAGCTGTTTGAACGCCTTATATATTCTGGTTATTAGTCCCCTGTCAGATGGGTAGTTTGCAAATATTGTCTCCCATTCTGTGGGTTGTCTCTTCACTTTGTTGATTGTATACTTTGCTGTGCAGAAGCTTTTTAAATTGATGTGGTCCCATTTGTCCATTTTTGCTTTGGTTGCCTGTGCTTGTGGGATATTACTCAAGAAATCTTTGCCCAGAACAATGCCCTGGAGATTTTCTCCAATTTTGTTTATATTAGTTTCATAGTTTGAGGTCTTAGATTTAAGTCTTTAGTCCATTTTTATTTGATTTTTGTATATGGTGAGAGAGAAGAGTCTTGTTTCATTCTTCTGCGTATGGATATTCAGTTTTCCCAGTCACATTTATTGAAGACTGTCTTTTCCCTAGTGTATGTTCCTAGCACCTTTGTTGAAAATGAATTTATTGTAGATGTGTGGATTTGTTTCTGGGTTCTCTATTCTGTTCCATTGGTCTATGTGTCTGTTTTTATGCCAGTACCATGCTGTTTTGGTTTCTATAGCTCTGTAGTATAATTTGAAGTCAGTTAATGTCATTCCTCCAGTTTTGTTTCTTTTGCTTAGGATAGCTTTAGCTATTCTGGGACTTCTGGGATTCCATATAAATTTTAGAATTGTTTTTTCTATTTCTGTGAAGAATGTCATTGGTATTTTGATAGAGATTGAAAACTTCATTTTTATTAGAGAACTACAAAAGTGAACAGCACCACTTGACAGAGGCTTCTTCCCTGCCTCCATGGGCTCTTGCTGCTGCTTATCCTCCAGGATGAATCTGAAAGATAAAACAACTGCTCAGTTGCTACAAATCATGGGAAGACTCTGGTGAGAAAATCTCCATAAAAGACTTCAGAAAAGATACGTGTCTTAAGGCAGAACTTGAGGAAAAGCAGGAAACTTGGCACAGAAGCCACAGAAGGCTTTTTCCAGGTGTAGGAACTTGCAAGGATGGCAGGAGGCTACAGAGAGCAGACCTGAAACCCTGTGAAAAGAAGAAATAAGCAAAGCAAGAGGATAAGCCCTGGGAGAACACCAGGCTTCCCAGTGTCTGCCTCGTCCTGCACAGTAAGAGCCAGGTCAACTTCAGGGAATAAGCAGTCCTCTAAAAGGAAGCATGACTGGAAAATACAGCACAACTAGGAGCATTTGGAAGGGGTCCGAGAAGTGGGGACCATCATTTGATAATAGAACCTGCTTTGGAGATGAGAGAGCCTAAAAGGATGCCCAATGCCCAGGCAAATACGGATTGTTCAAAATACATTCAATTTTCAATAAGCCACTTTGGGGATTTTTAAATTATTAATAGTATTTATATATGTTATATATAAATATTATTAATTGTTAATAATATCCACAATGGAGTACTATTCAGCCATAAAAAAGAGATCCTGTCATTTGCAAAACATGGATGGAACTGGAGGTCATCATGTGAAGTGAAACAAGCCAGGCACAGAAAAACAAACATCACATGTTTTCACTTATTTGTGGGATCTAAAAATCAAAACAATTGAACTTATGGACGTAGAGGTAGAAGGTTGGTCACTAGAGGCTGGAACAGATAGTAGGAGGTAGATGAGAAGTGGGGATGGTTAATGGGTGCAAAAAAAATAGAAAGAATGAATAAGAGCTACTATTTGGCTGCACAACAGGGTGACTATAGTCAAAAACCTAATTATACATTTAAAAATAATGAAAAGAGTGTAATTGGATTGTTTGTAACACAAAGATAAATCCTTGAGGTGATGGACACCCCATTCTCCATGATCTGATTATTACACATTGTATGTCTGCATCAAAACATCTCGTGACTCCCACAAATATATACACCTGTTATGTACTCACAAGAATTTTTAAAATTTTTTAAATAAGATAATAATATCATAGTTATTTTAATTCTAGAAAAAATTGCTGTGTCCTCAGAATATTACATTACTTTTAAATAAAAATGAGAAATTAAATTGGGATACAGTTCTAATATTGTTCCTTATCCCTGCTCTGTCCCACCCTCCCATCTCCGCTCCTAGAAACATCCAAGAAGAGACCCTCTTTCTTCATCCAAAGAACACTGAGGACTTGATTCTGTGGAATTTGAGCTTCTGACTAAAACATGGCCTGTTTTTCCTTCCCCTACAATCTAGGACCTGGCCCTCTGGAAGTGTTTCTTTTTCTGTAACAATCTAGTTTCTCTTGTCAGTCAGGCACTGTCTCATCCAGTGATAGAAACCTGTGCTACTGCCGTTCAAGTCTCACACTAACCACCTGGTGTTAGCACAGATTCCACAGGCCAAGGGCACAGTCCCCGTCAAGACAGCCCTCACTGGCCAGGTGCAGGGCCTCACGCCTGTAATCCCAGTACTTTGGAAGGCTGGAGCAGGTGGATTGCTTGAGCCCAGGCATTTGAGACCAGCCTGGGCAACATAGTGAGACCCTGTCTCTGAAAAAAAAAAAAATATGGGTTTTAATTACCCAAGCATGGTGGCACATATCTGTGGTCCCAGCTACGTAGGAAGCTGAGGTTAAAGGATCAATCACTTGAGCATAGGAGTCCAAGACCAGCCTGGGCAACATAGCGAGACTCTATCTCTACAAAAATTAAAATTAAAAAATTAGCTGGGTGTGGTGGCTCACACCTGTAGTCTCAGCAGCCCAGGAGGCTGCAGCAGGGGGATTGCCTGAGCCTAGGAGTTGGAAGCTGCAGTGACTATGATCTTGCCACTGCACTCCAGCCTGGGCAATAGAGCAGAGATCCTGTCTGGGGGAAAAAAAAAAAAGTTACCCCTTACTGTGAACCAGTCTCAAGTTTGGGGGTCCCAAAGCCACCTGCACTTCTGACCAACTGGCCACAAATTCAGGGTTTGCATGACTCCTTCAGTTTCAATAATTCACTAGAAAGACTCAAAGTGCTATACTTAGGATTACAGTTTCATTATGAAGGATACAAGTCAGGATGAGCCATATAAATAGATGCCCAGGATGAGGTCTGGAGGGTCCTGAATGCAGAGCTGCCGTGCCCTCTCCCCACAGCATCAGAGCAAAATTACCCTCCTGGCACATGGATGTGTTTACCAACACCCAGGGGGGTCATCAGGTGTCTGGAGCTTTGAATGGGTTTCATTTGGTAGGCATGACTGACTGAATCATTGGCTGTGTTATAGAACTCCATCCCTAGCACCCCTCTCCAGGGGTCAGGAGGTCAGGCCTGTATTAAGTGACTCAAAGCCCCAACCCTCTAATCACAGAACTGGCTTTTCCACAAGACTGGCCCCATCCTGAGTCACCTTGTTAGCATCAACTCTGCTATGGTCCAAGGGCCCACGATGAATAACAGATACTCCTATTACTCAGGAAACCCCAAGGATTTAGATGCCATGTCCCTGGAACCTAAAACAAAAACTAGACGCATTCTTTATTATACAACACAATGACAACAGTGGATATTCATTGATGGTTTTCTATATGTTAAACTCTGTGCTGAGCACTTTATATACATCTCATTTGATCCTTAGGAGATCCTGAGAACATGTGCCCAAGATGGCCGGGTGTGGCCCACTGCTTGGTTTTACACATTTTAGGGAGATACAAGATATCAATCAGTACATGTAAGATGTACATTGGTTCAACCCAAAAAGGTGGGACAACTCAAAGTGGGGGGCATCCAGGTCTTAGGTAGATTCCTTATTATTGGCAATGGGTTGAAAGAGTTTATCTAAAGACCTTTAATCAATAGAAGGGAGGGTCTGGGTTGAGAGAAGCATCGTGGAAACCAAGGTTCTTGTTATGTAGATGAAGCCTCCAGGTAGCAGGCTTCAGAGGGAAT